CCCTCAATCCCTAAACCCTACACCCTGCACCCTAAACCCTGAACCCTGAACCCTAAACCCTAAACCCTAAGCCCTAAACCCTAAGCCCTATATTCCCTAAACCCGAAACCCTAAGCCCTCAATCCCTGAACCCTAAACCCTAAGCCCTAAACCCAGGACCTCGGAGTGCTTGGGGATGAAGGAACTTCACCCGAAGTCGCCTTGGCAGTAGGCCGCAAGCTGGAAACGCTTCAAGTCGCTCACTGTCGCTTGGCCCGCTGTGGGGGTTATAGGGGTTATATAGAGTGTATAGGGATATATAGCGTTTAGGGTTTAGGGTTTTATCATCTTTTTAGGCTTGAAGGAGGCTTGGTTTAGGGTTTTTAGGGTTTAGGGTTTTTAGGGTTTAGGGTTTAGGGTTTAGGGTTTGTGTTGCGCGTTCATGTCCATGTTGTTCCCGAACTCTCAGCCAAATATCAAACTCTAGGGTCTAAACCCTACACCCTATACCAACTATATCCTAAACCCTAAATCCAAAACTCTAAATCCTAAACCCTAGATCCTAAACCCTAAACCCTAGGGTTAAGGGTGCTATAGCATGCGAAGCCAAGAGCCTGGACCCTTTGCAGCAAGCCCTAAATGCCAAACCCTGCATCACGAGGTGTTTTTTGGGTTTAGAGTTTAAGGTTTAAGGTTTTTGGTTTAGGTTTCGGGTTTAGGGTCTAGGGTTTAGGGTTTAGGGGCTTCCCCAACCCCTATAGCAAGAATCCTACAGCTATCATATGACTCTGCTGTGGTCTTGTGTTTGGGGGTTGGGGCAACTAGAGATCCTCTTATAAATTAATGAAAGCTGTCTAGAGCTGACAGAATAAGAAAGGATCAAGGAGTCGCTGCATAGCAGTTACACGGGAAAGAAGGAATCGATACCTGTAGTAGTCCTTATATAATCTACAGTGCTGCCATGTTCTTTCTTTTTGAGTCTCCATTGTTGGTGCAGTGTCCCCAGACCCTAAATCCTATATCCTAAACCCTGTATCCTAAACCCTAAACCCTGTATTCTAAACCCTAAGCGCTATATCCTAAACCCAAAGCCTTATATCCATCCTAAGCCGTACACTGCCCAACCAGAAGCCAGGGGTTTATGTAGGGGGTTATTTAAGGGTTTAGGGTCTGGAATTTAGGGTTAGAGGTTTTGGGGGTTTTGGGGTCTGGGGGGTTTGGGATCTGTGGGGTTTGGGGTCTGGGGGTTTAAGGTTTAGGGTTTAGGGGACAACCCCCTAGCGGTGTGACGGCTGCTGCGAAGGTCACGCCTCCCGTGAGGAGGACAAGCAGAAGATCTTCGAGTACATCCGAGCCGAAGTCGGCAGCCTAGAGAGCCTCAGCAGAGATTTAGGGTTTAGGGTTTAGGGTTTGGGGTTTAGGGTTTAGGGTTTTGGGTTTGGGGTTTAGGGTTTAGGGTTTCGTGTTAGGGTTTAGGGTTTCGAATATTCTAATCTGGGTTGCTGTTAAGGAACTTAATTAAAGTTACTATATTGGGGAAACCCTGTTAACTGCTATATATACCCATTCTGGTAACTTGACTTAAATTCCTTGATAGCAACCCAGTAATGGGGACTCCAAAGACCCTGCTATAGTTTAAGGTTTCATGTTTAGAGTCTCAGGGTTCCCTATTTGGGATCCTCACCGGAGTCCTGTTAGCGATTGAGTGCTTCAGAGGGTGTAGGGTTTAAGGCGAAGGTTTCAGGGGTTGAAGGGGTTTGGGGTTTTAGGGGCAAGGATTTTTGGGAGTTAAACAGTGTGCCAGTTGTTCTGGTTCCAAATTCTGGATCATTGTCGGACACATTTATGTTGCTTCAAAAGGAATGCAGAGCTACAATCTGTAAATCATACCCGCAGACCTAAACCCTAAACCCGAATAAGAGTTAGCTTGCAGACAGACTTTGGGAGTCGAAGCTCGAATTTTCAAAGTGCCTAGGCGGTGGAAGTCTCTGAGACTGAGTGTTTTGTAGGGTTCTTTGGAGGAGCGCAAGTAGGGACCCCAAATTCCATGTCCATCTAACACGGCTTATAGCCCTCACATGGAGTTTCTGTACTTACAAGGAAGCCTGTAATTTCGGAAATAGGCTTTGTACAAGCCCATGATCCTACGCAGTCCCCAAACGGGCGCCTGTAATCCAATGGGTTGACATGACAGGCTATTATTAGTATTATCACTCTTATGCATTCTATTTATCATTATTACTATTCTCATTGCTGTTGTTACTACTATTATTGAAATTAATATGTTCATTGCAATAAATATTGCTAGTATTATACATTATCATAACTATTATACATTATCATAACGTTCCTGCAAATGTACCCAAAGTCCTGTGTTTTTGTTCGGCGGCCTTCTAATGATCAAGGAAAGCGTCGTTTGTCCTGTAGCCTTCATTAAGAGCCCCAAGTATGTTCAACATGCCAACAGGCAAGCAGGACGGCTTAAGCCCACTTTTTTTCTAGCCCGATTCTATTTATGTGCCGCAGACAGGGAAGGATGAAAGTATTTTAATCCTGAGCTCAGCAAGGGACATGGACAGCCAGATCAAGCAGCGGATGGGCAGCATTCTCCGCCAGACACTGCAGAATTTGGAGAATCTGCAAAGTGCGACGCAGAACCTGATGTTGCAGATGGTCTGGGGGGAGGGGTCGTTCGAACAAGTTTGAACCACCCTTCCCAGTTTTTCCAGCCAGTCCTCAAATTTTTAATCTAAGCCCTAATCCCTCGTGTGTTGTAACTCATCAAAATGGCCGGAGCACGTCCGTTTCAGGCAGCTAGCGACTGGTGGCTAGTAGGGCCCCATATCCTAGACCCTACATAATGTAGGTAGTTTCCTTTTCTGTTCCATTCCCTACTGACCATCAGTAAGAAACTCCTGCACGAAAGCCATTCCGTTTGCCATGGACTCTGCTGCCAGCCAAGTGAAAATGGCTGGCAAAGCTGGTTCAGTGGCCATTTCCTTTCTCCGAGCAGGAAAGCTTCAAGCGCTGACTCTTGAGCAGTTGTGCAAAATTAAGCTTCAACCTTTCTTTATTCCAGCGCAACATAACTGGACCCAAGAAAGCAGCCTGTTCTGGAAGACTGCCCTTTCGGGAAGCATGAACCTTCAAGCGTAATCCATTAGCTGCTACACGTAGCCATAAACTCCTAACCCCTAAGTCCTAAAGTGAACTCATGTTTTTGAAGACGTGCACAGGAATTGTTTCTATTTCAGCAAGGAATCCGAAGCACCCACACGGGAGGGTTCCTCTTAAAAAGCTCAACAGCCTTTTCGGGGCCGTAACACATTGCACGGAGAGGCTTCAAATTCGAGATGCCCAGGCTTCCCAGGCAACCTAAACATTAGATCTTGCAGGACTATCTATCTTTATGTATATATATATGTATATGTGTGTGTATGTGTATATATATATACAAAAGGAGTTATGCAGGGGGCGTGTGCGGATTAGATCATCCAGGAAATCCATCACTGCCCGAATCATGCATCAGCCAGTTTACGACTGCTTGACCCCTTTGCCCTTGTTCGACACCCTCCGGGCTAATGTTTTATACCTTCCGAGAGTCAGAATTGGAACGATGGCGCTATTTGATATGAGGGTTTTGATCTTCCAGATCTTTGATGAAACCGTATCTTCACCCAAGCCCACAGGCTACGATGTTGTTCTTGTTCTCAGTAGATGAACCGGTAATCTCTATTCGTTTGGTGCATAAAGTATCCTGCTATGGCTAACAGGTTAACTCTTTTTAGGGCTACAAAACTCAGCATCTGGGTGTTGGTATGGCATGACCTGACAAGAACTTGCATATGAGTTTCGGGGTAATGTAGACCCATGATTCATAACCCCCTCTCCTTTGAAGGGCCTTCATATTAGGATCCCTGTTATAATCCCAATTAAGGGGAGGGGGTTTGTTAATCTGGGGTCTGGGGTTAGGGTTTATGTTAATCTGGGGTCTGGGGTTAGGGTTATATAAAACAAAGCTCTTGTAATCCGAATCCTGCCAGGAGCAGCCTGCCGGAGAAAAGTTTTGTTAATCAGGGCTCTCCATCAAGAGGAGCTTATTCCAGGTGGGTGGTTTTCAAGAGGATGCTTTGGACCTTACCATATTACTTCCATAAAGCACCTCGTAAATCTTAAGACTTACCTCTGTTTGGAAAAAAACGCAGGATGCATTTTTAAAGTAGTCCCTATATGATAGAATCCTCGATAGCAGAGTAGATTCCATTTTCTTTCCATTCCGTCATCTCCTGCTGACCGGATTCGAGTCGAGCTCAATCCCCATGTGGTCCAAGTTTCCATTGAATATTACATTTTCTCTTCCATTTGATTCTCCGTTACTAGGGGTAATGTTATCCCTGGAAAATCCATAACCTTGAACCTCAAACCCTACACCCTAAACCCTAATTCCTAGACCCGCATTCTCCCTGGTAAGATGAAAAGACAAAGAGAGATATGGACCTCCCGCCTTGAGAAAGCAGTTTTAATTCAGAGCCTGAGGTTCTTTCAAACTTCTGGCTTCATGATTTTCCATTTTGGGTGGAGATTTTCAAGACTATTGGTCTGTTGGTGCGGGTCTTTCAACGCGAGGAGCAGCTGGCCTCTGCAGATTCCCCTCTTTCCCAAGCCTTGGCCCGTGTTGAAGCCCAAAATGTACTGCGGAGGGGTCCAGTCTTGAGAGCCTACCCATGATCCTGCCACAAGTCGCAGGCCAGGCATGATGTAGCCAGAGACAGTTTTAATCATCCAAGGCCCAGCGCAAGTTTTGGTTGAGAGTCGAGGGCTCAAGTTGCGCAATGCCCCTACTTCGTGACAGTTGGATAATATTTATGATAAAGCTCGACATAGCATTTTTCATGACCCCTCTTTCGACTGTTACAGGGTGGCGGCAGTACCCTAGGCTTCAGGCTTCGGCTTAAGGATTAAGCGTTTAGGATGTGAGGCTCACTGTGGATTCGAAGGTTTATGCCTTATGGTCTAGAATTTAGGGTTCAGGGTTGAAGGCTTAGATCTTAGGCCTTTGGTATTTGGGGTTGGTCAGATTTAAGGTTGAGGGGGGGTTCAAGGATTTTCTTCTTTCTGGAAGCCCAAAAGGGTCCCCATGAAGGTTGCTATTCTTGTCAAAGGAGCTTGTGCAGGATGGTCGAAACCTTTGTGGGTTAACTCGGAAGAAGTTTGCAAATAGGTGAGTCATCATGTTCTCCTGAGCCTTTAAAACAGCCCCTGCCTAAACCCTAAACGCTAAACCCTAAACCCTGAACCTGAGCCCTAAACCCTAAATCCCTAAGCCCTTTCAATCCTAAACCCTAAACCAAAACCCCAGGGCGCACGACTTCAGACAGGGTTTAGGGTTTTGCAAAGCCTGGCCACTCGGTTCCTTCCATTCAAAGGGAAGTAAACCACAACCGGACCCGCAGACCTGCATCCTCCAGGTTGAGGGTTGAGGGTTGAGAGTTTAGGGTGACAGGATTTAGGGTTTAGGATTAAAGGTATGCATCCTCCACCCCAAATCCAAAGCCCACCAGCCCTATAGCCCCATACAAAAGAGGCTTGAAGAAATACCAATGTTGTGGTCCTGGGTTCCTTGTATGATTAGGGCAAACGGTGCCTCAAAGGCAACAATCATACTGGCAATTACTTCGGCCGCTGCAGTACCCCGAAATCAAGAGCCTTGAGCCCTACAATCGGCACCCGTGCCCTAAACCTAAACTTTAAACCCTAAACCTTAAACCCTAAAGCCTAAACCCTAAGCCCTAAAGCCTAAAGCCTAAACCCGAAACCTTAAACCCTAAAGCCTGAAGCCTAAACCCTAAACCCTAAAGCGTAAACGAACCAGAAGTGGGGCTTTGGACCACATTTCTGAAGCAAATTCGCTGCCAGCGGAGCAGCGGGCGCATGCAGCCGTGCACAAGCCGGGCAAAGAGCTTTCAAGGGCTCGGGGTCAGGGTTTTGAGGCATTGGGTTTAGGGTTTAGGATCTAGGGTTTAGGGGCTTAGGGTTTAGGGTTTAGGGTTTAGGATCTAGGGTTTAGGGGTCAGAGTTTAAGTTTCCGGGTTGAGTTTTGACTTGACCGTCATGTGAGTTATAGTCTTAACTATCTAAATTCTGAAAAGGAGGTTATGTAGGGGGTTCAATAGGGTAGTATTATGTCATCATTGGGGATAGTAGGAGTTTAGACTATAGCTCAGACTCCTATTGTATCCTTTTTCATGTGTAAATATGCACCTTTCTTGAAGTAGCACTGAACCCTAAAACCCTGAACCCTAAATCCTAAACTCTAAATCCTAAACCCTAAACCCTAAATTCCAAACCCTAAACCCGCTAGCGCAAGGTAGGGCTACGGGTTACCCCAGGCGGGCTTCCTCTTGGTCATTGCTCTTCGTGGTAGTTCTTATGGCGCTGCCCAACGGAATGTAGAAGCCTGACCCATTTTTGGTTTAGGGTTTAGGATTCGGGGTTCAGGGTTTAGAGTAATTAGTATGAACATTAGTTCATCATAGCCCTTGTATAGTTACAGCACAATGTACCGCAACGCTCTGCGGTAATTATTTTTGACCCCAGTATTCACAATTCCCGTAGAAATGCAATGGAACCTCAGCTTGCTTCCATGTACATCTTCATTTTATTTTACATTCGATGTCCCATCATCTCTACAGCTTAGCCCTAGATAAAGAAGAGTTCCCATGTCATTCTCCAGCTTCTTTTCACTTGATTCTCCACTCTGCCGAATCCCCCCACCTTTCAAGCGAATCCATCTGGCATTCGCACTATGCTGTGTTGTGGGTACACGGTACAGGGTTGTGGGGGTTTTGGGTTTGGGACGGCTTATTGTTTGGGGCCTAGGGCTCAGTTTTAAAGCATGGTATGATTCGAGTCAAGGAGAGGTCTAGGTGGCTAGCTATCAGCTGGGTCCTTTTCTAGGAGGCCTGCACACGGGTTGTTTTATCCTTAGACGAACAGCCGGATGTGGGCAAGAAAGCCTGCTTTGTTTTATGTCGATTACTTCCCGCTGCTGTTAGAAGTATTCGTATCAAAACGATAATTGCTACTGCTACAGCTACAGCTACTGCTACAGGTACAGCTACAGCTACTGCTACTGCTGCTGCTACTGCTGCTGCTACTGCTTCTACTACTGCTGCTACTGCTGCTGCTGCTACTACTACTACTACTACTACAACAACTACAACTACCACTACTACTACTACTACTACTACTCGTCCTCCTCCTCATATTACTATGACTCATATACCGCTATTTCTTTGTATTAGGCTCAAGAGACGGTGAGAATTGTTATGTTTCAGGTGTTGCAGGAGGAGTAGGGGGGCATATCAGGCTTGTAGCCTGTAACTTTGAGCCCAAACCTCTGCACCACAGACCTTTTGAGTGTTTGCTCAAGCTCAGGGTTTAGGGAAGATTCTTGGATTCCGTGGCCTTAGACGCCTGCCTACAAGCTTGCAGCATGTGAACGGTCCGCTGACAACTTCCTTCGTACCCTGCACTGCAAAGTTTTCACATCACCAGGTTGAGCTTAGACCTCAGCATGTCAGGCCCGCAAGGATATTTGATACCGAGCATCCCAACCTTGTGGTTGTCCCAACACCCCCCAGGGTTTGTGTTTTGGGGTTTAGAGTTTAGGGCAATGACGGAATCCCAAACTTCCACACCTCCCT